GATGTTATGATGTTTATGATTTTATGTACAACTAAATATATACAAACAAGGAAAAAAAATCCTTAGGTTTAGGCTTGCATGAAGTCTTATAGGTAAGCACTCTCTTAAAGTTTAGTTGGCTCAAACCTGTCCTAGAAATAGTAATCGGGTTCTAAGGGATCTCAATATCACTGATCTGTCTTATCGAGCATTGTTTTAGCACAAGCCTCTTCCACGGCGGCTGAAATATCCCAAGAAGTCAAATCTCAATGAGTGTAGTATCGAGTATCAACCAACTTCGGACTGCACCAAAGCCGGTTATCTCACTACGTCCTAATGGCCAAGTTGGTCAAGTAAAGGTTCTAAAGTCAGTTAGTGCTTCATGACACCACACAACGGCCCCGTATTCTCCTTGACTACTCAAGGGATACCGGTACCCACAAATGTGTCACACTAACGTAGCTATTTCTTAGACCATGTCGGTATACCCCGCACAATTTCCACAACGTATTACTACTTACCTATAAGGTATCCCAAATCCGCGTAGAGGATTAAAACAAGCCCAAATAAGGTACCAAAATGTAAAGCAAATCAAACAATGAAAGCAAATAGAGGTGATCTAGCCCTAAGGTAACCTCACTTTTAAATTATCCCCAGCAGAGTCGTCAGTTATGTGATACGATGGGAGAACTGACTTGGGTGTTTTGCGTTTTATCGCAAATGTTGCGGTTAGCAATAGACGCCACCGACTTTTCTTTTATCCAAAAGGAAAGGCTGAAAAGAACAGGAAAGACCTTTGAGATTATTTCTTGAGTTCGGAGGTAGATTATGAAAAGGGAAGGTGTTAGCACCCTTTTCATTCATAGTTATCTATGGGCTCTTAGTTGCTTGCTATATCACTTGCTTTTGTTTGAAAATGTGCTTTGTGTGGTTTTTGAAAGTATTTTGAAAAGTCCCTTTGTTTATGCAAACTTTGTAATAGTTCTCGTTCGTAAGAACGTATACAAAGTGTTGGGCTTTTGAAAATATTTCATGTTCGAAAAATGTTTTGAAAGTGTTTTTGAAAGTGTTTGGTGTTTGTTTTTGAAAATAAGCAAGGATGTTTGATTTGAAAATGAGAAAGCAACTAGGAACAATCTACCTACTTAAAAGTCTTTGTTCATTTCTTCCTTCCTTTGGTATTTCTATCTTACCATTGATTTGGTAAGAAGCCTTATCTTTGGATGTAAAGGGACGAGCGTGAGTCATCGTATAGTCATGATAGCAATGTTGTAAGATGTCTTAGCATTTCTCTTTGAGGGACTAAGATCATTTTGAAAGGCAACATTTATAGCGTCATCAAGGGACTATGATCTTGTATTTTTGATTGTTTTTTTGCTATGACATCCCACATGCATAACATGACCATTTTTGTAAGGCAACAAGTGGAATTACCCTAAGGGTGCAAGTGTGCAAATGTGTTTGATTTACATGCATTGTTTATCTTGGATTAGGGTTTACTACTTGTTGGTTTTAGTCTTGCCATACAAATCCTAATTATAACATTTATATAAAAGCCATAAATTGCAGGAAGTAAAATTACTACGCTATTACATCATTAGGGGAGGGGTGTACAAATTTATAAATGGGGATTGCAAGAAAATTAAACCTAATTATCTATTACAACCATATTGAATATGTACAAGAATTGAGAAGAAAGTAATGCAAGGAAATAAATGGAAAAGAAATGATCTTGTTGTTTGGTTTTTGTTAAGGGTTTACTTTTGACCTAATTAAGGAAATGATTAATTAAAATTAAACAAAATTAAACTTAAACTAAATAAGAAAGAAATTAAGTATGAAACATTTTTAGGGTTTTTTATGAAAATATTTAAACTTAATAACAATAATATGAAAAATTAATTAATTAAAAGAAACCTAAATTCTAAATTAATTTTAGATAAAAGAGAAAAATAATTAATTAAACCAAAATATAAATATTAATTATTTAAATAAACAAAATTAATTTGTTAAGAAAATGTTTTTGTCCTTTTTATTTTATAAAGAAAATAAACACATAAATGTGAAAATAATAAATATAAATACTTTTGGATTTTTTTATTAATAAAATAATAATAATAATAATAATAATAATAATAATAATAATAATAATAATAATAATAATAGTAATAAAAATATAATAAGAAAAAGAAAATAAAATGAATTAAAATGATAAAAGAAAAAAAAATTGGTTAGGTGTGTGAAAATGAGCAGTGGGGTATGGGGTAGAAAAAATGGTAAGGCCCAAGCGCTGCTTGTTGGAACAAAAAAAAAGAAGAAAAATGTGAAAAAATGAACAAAAGGTAGCGCTGGGACTTGAACCCCTGACCTTCAGCATACACGCGCGCTACCTTTACCATTGGGGTGGTTGTACATCCGGTAACATAAACAAAATAACAAATACATAACTCAAGTCAAGTTCTGAAGATGACTTCATCTTCAACCTCTAGCCTAAACATCTGCAACTTCACCATTTCTCATCCATTTGCAAAAATATAAACATCAAACTTGTTCCAAATTTCACAAAGATTCCAGAAATGTAAATTACTAAAACTATAAATCAAAGATGAGCATGAATTTTGAATGGTACCAAATTCTGACCTAACTTTTTCAGAAAGTTCAAACTTAAAATTCTCACTACTCAAGCAATATAAATGGAATCTATGGACATGTACAGTTTCAGGGCAATGATATCTATATTTTATCTTCACAAATCAGAATCAAATGATGCTTGTAAGAAGAGATAGAAGTTTGAAAATTTTCCTCTTGCAGCTGGAGTCGTGTATGGAGTTTGAGCAACCTTAGATATGACCTGATGATTTCTAAAGCTTGTCTGGACCTCCTTGAATGTATTCCAACTCCTACTTTGCTTTGAGGATGGCTGGAACTCTCGACTCAAGTCAAGTTGCAAGCTTCAGTTTTAAAAATGGTGGACAGTGATGGAGGGGTTACAGTCTTGAAACAAGGACTTGGGTCACTTATGTATGATGTATGTAAGGTTTTTGGATGATTAAAAAACAAAACGCACGAGTGGAAATGGAGATGGGGAGTTTTGGCTCAAAACTGTCAAGTTTTGGCAGTTCTGTGCAGTAAGGGTGCTTGGAAGAGTTTGAGGATGCTTGAAATCGTGTCTTGGATTGAAATAGACTTGTGCATATGTATGGAAAAGATTGGAGATCAAATGCACTCAAGATTTCTGAGTTCTAGCCTTTTGGCTATATAGCTTGCTTTTGAAGAAAAGTGAGAAGACAAATCTCAAAGTTTTGTACAAGCATGATCTGAGTTGATAGAGGCTTTAGACATATTTATTTTGGTTTATAAGGGTTGTGTGTGCAGAAAGAACAAGTGCAAGGCTCAAGAAGTTGACAATTGCAAAAGTGACGCTTTATCAAAATGGAAATGGAAACTCTGTGCCATAAATGGAAAATCATTTTGGACAAAGCTTAAAACAAGTGGATAAGGGCCTAAATAGTTGTGAAAACCATTAATTATGGAGTGACAAACAAGTTTGAGGCCTTCAAAGAAAAGATCATGCAGCCTAGCATGGATTTGGTTCATGTTCATCCTAAAAATCTGCCTTGTAATTCAAGAATGAAACCCTAACTTCTTGCCTTCAATTCTCCTTGCTCAAGTATGATCTCAATGAGTTTTTTGACATTTTGGAAAGCTTTTAACATCCTCTACAACCTCTATGTTGTACATTTTTGAAGATTCATCTTGGAACTATGTGAAAATTTTCCATGAAGTTAGGTCGAAATCCTACCTAAACTAGGGAAAAATTTCACTAAGTTTTTCAAGTTTCATGAACATGTCTTCTTAAAATAATAACTTTAAATCCATGCATTTATATAAAAACTTGTGTTCTACAGTGTTTTAGATCTAATTTAGATCTACAACTTTCATGTTGGAAGTTTCCTTTGAATCATCTTGCATCATGGTGAAAATTTGGCATCAAGTTGTGAAAAAATGTGAATTTTCAACACTTAGAAAAAAAATTCTAAGTTTAGAAATTTTGACTTTTCAAAATGAAATCTTGACTTTTTGATTTATTGATGAACAAGTTTCATATTTTCACATGTCTTGATGAATTGTAATCTTTGAAACTTGATTTTGATCATAAAGTCAAAGTTTGACTTTTCAGTGTACATTTGACTTTTCATCAGTTGACTGAAATTCATCTGTCAATCAATTGATCTTGAGAAATGTTTTGAGTCATGCCATTAGGTCAAAATGAAGCATTTGAAACCTTGAGCTCATGTCTCAAACCAATAAGTCATTTTCTAGGTCAAAAATCAGAAATTGCACCTTCTCAATCAAAACCCTAATTTTGACCATTTTTCCTTTTGATGATCTGATCAAATTTCTTGAGGAATTATGATCCAAATTTGATCAAATGACATATATGAGTTCATGATGTTGATATGGATAAAACATTATGAAGTTTGACTGTAAATTGACCATAGTTAACTTTTTGCTCAATATAGTTGATTTTAGGTCAACTGATCAATTGACTGAGCAAAAATGTGATCCAAGACTTGAAACTTGACATGAGCAATCTTGAGAGTCCAAAATGATCCATGAAAGTCATACGGGGCATTAAAATTCCATTTGTCCTTGTGCAATCTCAAACCCTAATTTTCAGTTATCAGTGCTTGAGGAGGTGTCTTGAGCTGATTAACCCTTGTGCAGTCTTGAACCAATAGAGATATTGTGAGAGATTACTTGAGAAATGAGAGGGAAAATTTTGGGTTACAACACATATAATATTATGCATACAGGTATTCAGTGGAATAATACATGATAAAGTATTCAAAAAAGGAGGAAGGAAGCATGGAAAGCGAGAAGCTCTTGAGCTAAATATCCCAATTGATACAAGATACTTCAATAAGAAATATTTTTCAAGGAATCCATATGAGGAAATCAGGCTTCAAGAAAATTCAACTGACCCTGAAGAGATTTGTCTCTTATCACATACTCTTCTCTCATCTGGTCAGCTCTTCCACAACATCGCGGATATCGAGGGACATAGTTTCCACTTCCACTTCACCCTGGAAAACATCATCTTCCATCTTCATAAGTTGATCCTCAAGGCTCTCCACCTGCTCAGCTAATTCGATTGAAGATCCATAAAGACACCTTTCTTCAAACAACATGGACCCATTCTCTACACAACCTTGTAGTATCAGACGATCCTCCTCAAGACTCGTCTTCTTCGTCTTGAAAAAATCACGTTTAGATTTCAAAAAATAAACCTCTTAATGTAGGACATACGGATCCAAAAAATCTTCGGGATCAACAACTAATTGATTAAGGATAGGTACCATCCTCATAACACCGTTAGTTTTCTCCTTTGCCAATTTAAGACGACCAGAAGGAGGAAGTTGACCAATGAAATCATAGTCTCTTCTAGAGACACTACCATGGAAAGAAAATTTAACCAAGGTTGGGAAAAGGATATTACCATGGATGGAGGTCCGTGGTAAACTAGGGTGTGGTAGTAATTACGCTCTTTACCACTCCAGACTGGAATCTGTGATAAAAACACAGTAGCGCTTTTTGTATCACCATGATTTCTTATGATAAACTTGTAAAACGTATAGGTTAGAGGTTCGATTTCCAGGCCATCATTTTGGTTCTTTTCTCAACTTTTCACCAAGTTTGTTCTTTCAAACCGTAGTTAAAGACTTGTCGTACAACTTTTCACTATGGTTGTATATTTCAACCATGGTGATATGTTCATTTAAGTTTACTATAACATATGTGCAATGATTATTTCACCAACTACTTACTAAACATATAACCTCTCAATATGATATAGAAATTAATAATTTGACAAATTAAGTTATATTAGAACAATATGTTACAAAGATCAACGTTTTCCAAGCTTTCTTACTTTCATTCTACGTATCTCGATTTTTAAGCATTAGAATTAGGTCAAATGCTTGTGACTCTTCAACCAACACTTCATTCTCTACTAGTTCATTAAACTAGTAAAGAAGGAAGTGTTGATTAAAGAACTACAAGCATTAAACCAAATTCTAACTCTCAAAGAGGGAGATAGGTAGAATAGAAGGAAGAAAGCTTAAAAAATATTGATCAATGTAAGTTGTTTTCTAACATAACTTAATTTTTTATAATATAAATCATCATCAACAACATACCTTAAACAACATACAACATATATTATCAAACACAAAATCATCAATAACATACAACTTTTATCAACGATAATATACATTAATCAACATACAACACATACAAATAAAAAATAAACCATCAATAACATGCAACTTTTATCTTAAACAACATACAACATATATCAACAAAAACTAAATTATCAACAACATACAACTTTTATCTTAAACATCATACAACATATATCAACAAAAACTAAATCATTAATAACATAAAACATATATCAACAAACATAAAATCATCAATAATATACAACTTTTATCAACAATAACATACTTTAAACAACATAAAACATATATCAGCCAACACAAAATCATCAACAACATACAACTTTTATCAACAACAACATACAACTGTTATCAACAAAAACATACAACTTTTATCAACAACTACATACCTTAAACAATATAAAACATATTGATCAACAAAAACTAAATTTTAAACAACGTACAACTTTTATCAACAACAACATAAAACATATAATAACAAAAGAAAAATCAACAACAATATTAAATGTGGAAAAGTCTCACGCACCTTAAATGTGAATAAGAAGTGAAAGAAATGAGTTTTGTGTGACACATTTCCTTGATCCTTAAGAAATGAAGAAGATATGTTGGAGTTTTATGAAAAGTGGTATAGATCGTTCATGGCGTAAGGAAAAGGCATGAAAGAGTGTTAGGGTTTCGTTTTGAGAGAGACTATTGTTCTGTTCTGAAAGAGTGAACTTTCACTTAAATATATGTTACACTTTTCACCATGGTTTCTTAAAACGGCCGTGATAAAATGTGGGTACTTTTCACAACGGTTTCTATTTTAGACTATGGTGAAAGGTAATTAATTTTAATATAAATTTTAAGATTATAAGTGACACACATATATTGTAAACAAAAAAAAGGAAAATTGTTGGTGTTGGGAATCAAAGCATGTAAGCCTAAACATATCACTATGGTTATTACTATGGACCATTGTGAAAATTATTTTTGTAAACGAAATAAAAAAGCAGGTGCTGAAATAAGAGCTATTACCTCGATTGGTTTAATAGTCGTGGTAATAGCATGCTACGTTAGGTGTATTTTGTTGTAATGGGACAAGGTTTTCTAATCCAAAGTATTTAAGAAAAAGACCAGTCAATAAAGAAGGAAAATAAGGAGAAACGTCTTCTGACCCTTCAACAACATCACTCTCGGGTTAACCTTTTCTCATTTTTTCCCTTTACCCGATCTTTGCCGAGGGGAACAACAATAATCACGACGCGCTTCTTCTTACGCTGATCCCCAAAAGAGGCCGAGACAATCAGGATGACCCCGGACTCTAACGGGTTGGGATTATTCTTTATGCTTATTTGAAAAGAAAGAACCAAATAAAATGGAAATTAAATATATCTACGTGTTTGCAAAGAAAACGAAGCAGGAAACTTGCCAAATACTACTTTTCACTCCTTTGTAGAACTAGCCTTCGCCACTTCCTTGCAAGGTATTAAATCATCAAAAAATAAAATCATAATCACCTCAATATCCTTATCAGTATCATTGAGGGCATCATGAGGTACCCTATAACTTTTGGCACATTCAAAGAAATGTTCCGAGGACCAAAATCGCCGCCATCATCACTAATGAGATAAGTGAGATTGAAGATTTGGGGAATATGGTGAAACAATATGAAAAGATAGGAAAATACAAAATAAAACAAAATTTAGAAATAACGCTTAAAATCTTATCGTAGAAGTAACACAAAGATCAACTGCCTAGACCAAATCATCTGAGGGTAACACGTTTCTTGTCTCATCAGTTACCTCAAACAAAAAGCGCTTGAGTGACCTAGGTAGAGAAATCGGTTACTAACCCACGTATATGAGGTGACGTGTTGACGACTTAAGGAGACAGCGTGCCAAAAACAAAGAAACATTAAATGCACCAAGTACTCCTGCAGAGCATTCCAAACGTTTCCACTTCTTTGAGCATTTGGGGTAAACCTTCGATACGATTAACCAATGCTATGAAAATACCTCTTGGTTTCTAAGAACCTAAAAGTCTTAGAGGAAACTGTTTTGTCTTTTCCATATCCTCGGCGATCCAAACCACCTTCAGAGATTTGACAACCATAAGAAAAGAACTCACCAGATTAGTCTGATTTAGACATGTTCCTTTCCTGAGTCAGACACCACAAGGCGTAACATCTTGTATCCAATTCAAGTATATACTAACTGAAAGATTCTCCTAACCCTTGAACCTTCGGTAATCTAGAAGCAGGAGATCCATCCCTCTAACACATCCAACAGTCCTCTGCATTCCACGTCGGGAAGTTAGAAAGTTATAGTCTGATCCCTTATATATGCAGATGGCGTCATTTCAAGTAATAAATTTCAAACACAATTTGAATACTCTCTCGTCATTCACATACTGACTTAAATGTTAGAGTGCTAATCTCGTAGGTACACTCACATTCCATCGCATCGCAAGCTCTCCTACGTCGTAGCATTCGCGACTCCACATATTTTTGGTTCCGAAACAGAACAATATAATCTTTCAATTTTTTGAAATTGTTCTTTGAATTTTTTTAAAATTTAAATTTAATTGTTAAAATTTTTTCAAAAATTACTAATCGATCTATATTTCTTCAAAAATTATTCAAATTTGATTCAAAATTTATTTAATTTATAAAAATTGTAAGAAATATCCAATAATGAAGAAATATAAAAGCAAAAGAATATAAAAAATAGTTTAAACATATTAATTGCTAAAATTTAAATTTCCTAAAAGTGATATATATGTTACTTTAAGCAATGTTTTAAAAGTCAAACCCCACATCAAATTAATAAGGGTATTAGTTTATTAGTTAAATCATTGGGTTATTGATGGAATAACATGATTAAATTGAATTAAATTGAATAATTCAGTTGAATAAATCAATCTCTATAATAAAATTATATATTTATTAAATCTCAAACTTGGTAATTTGGTCTCTAAAAACTATCACTACATCTTCAAAATTTTAAAATATAATAATTTTACATGTTCATTTTTTAAGTTTAAATTCTAAATATAATCATTGCACACAACAAAATAATATAAAATACAAATCTAAATAAATTTTGAATAATGTCTAATTGAAAACAAGAGAAAGTTTTCCCAAATAAATTTTCAATAGAGTATAATTTTATTTTATTTTTTTAATTAAAAAAATTATCAAAACAGTATGTTTTGTCCGAGAAAAACACAAATATTTAATCCGTAAATTTTCCAAAACCGTTGATTAATCGATTTTAACTAATTTCCACTAGTTCAATAGCATATCCATTCGAATAATCAAATTAGATTGATCACCCTTTCGATTTCCCGGTTCGACCGGTCTAACACTCTCACCCGCCGATTTGATCTGGTTTTAAACTATTGACTTTAGGATTATTGAATTGTATTTTCAAGATAATTTTGTATTATTTTTAAATTCCTTAAAATAGTGAACACGAATGCATTTATATGTGATATCTACGATAAATATTAAATTAAATTGACTAAGACTTGAAAAAATTTATGCATAAAAAAACTTTGGCTTCAGATTCATAGCACATGTTAGTATTTATTATGGCTGCTGCAATCAAGTTTTCTGAATTCATAGCACATGTTAGTATTTATTACTAGTATAAGAGAGTTCGAATTTGTCACCTCACATTGCATGCTTGATTTGGACGCAAAATGAGCAGAGTTTGGTCCGAAATAGTCATGGTACGTAGCAGATTTCGAACCATGAGTTTAATACTACGGAAAATCAGTTTTAATTAGATTTGAAAATTTTTAATTATAAAATATATTCTCTTCATCTCATAAAAACATTTTATTTTAATAATAATATGTATTTTTTAAGAAAATAATTAGATCTGTTAATTTTTTACGATAAAATTAATATTATTTATTAAATTATCTTTATTAATTATAGTTAATAAAATAGTTAAATAAAGTAAAAATTAATAAATAAGATTATAATAATAAAAAAATAATAATAAATATTACAATGATATTGTAAAAAGATGATTATTTTGAGATATAGAAAAAATGTAAATGAAACAAATTTATAAGACGGAGGAAGTTAATTTCCTGACACTCCTACAAAATAATTGCGATTACGTTTTTGTCTTTATTAAAAATTTCCAATTTATGATAAGTATTGGATTTTTGACGCAGATACCAAATATTTTGCATTTTGTATCATTTGGGTGAAGAAATTATGGATTTTTTGCAAGTATATTGTATATTTCCCAACTTTATGTAGAACTACCAGACATTTTACAAATTGGAGATACAAATTCAAAGAATTCTAATAAATGACGAAGAAATACGAGATATTTAAAAAATTCGGGACAAAATTGTCGAATATTTAAAAAGAGACAGTAACATATAAAATTTATCGGATTTTTTGAAAAAACCAATAAATTACAAAATTTCTAGAAATTTAGAAAAATATAGTTGGTATAAATAAAATTATGGAAAAGAATTTTTTTTTACATTTGTAACAAACTATATCATATAATATATATATATATATATATATATATATATATATATATATATATATATATATATATATATATATATATATATATATATATATATATATATATATATATATATATATATATATATATATATATATATATATATATATATATATATATATATATATAATATAAAAGTGCTATAGTATCATTACAAATTTAATTATGTCGATTTTCTAGCTTCTTCTTCCCAATGTCTAATATGTCTCATATATGCTGATTCTCATGCTCTTGCAACTTTACTACAATTCTATTCCCATTTGTCTGTGGCGAAAAGAAAAGGACAATTGAGTTTCAACTTCACCTGAATTCAATGATTGTTGTTAACAAAGCCAACTACAATCATTTTGTGTATCACTGATGGGAAGAATGTGATGTTAAGGTTCCTTGACAACGAGATCAATATAACAATGTATCTAGAAGCAATAGGGTAACCCATATCAGGAATCATCACCCACTTATCATAATCCTGCACACCCTAGCTAGCTGTTATAGAACAATTTGGAATATAATTGATGGTGTTGATAAACTTCGATATCTAACTGCGTCCGAACCAAATGTCAAGACTCTTCGCTATATCCCAGTAAAGCTGCAATATCCCGAAAACCACAATTTCCATCGTCACCCACATCAACAATGTCATCAATGTACAGATGTAAAAAAACAAGAAATTGTGAACAATATTCTTGTTTTGAAAACACGTTACACAATTGACTTTGAGTTGGCTTTGTACATGATATCTTCGTACTCTGACTTCCCTGCGAGCCCTCAACATATTCCCACTGTGAAGGATCACGATGCACATCACTCTCTTCACCCTTTTTACTCTTCTTATTTTCCTTATTTGAATTGTACTTCATTAGTGGTGGACACATAGAATTTGTGGATGGATGTGTTAGTTCTCAAACTTTTTTCTTCATCTTTCTCTGGCCTACAATATCTAGTGTACCGAAATACTTCTTCAGCTCTTCCCACTCTTATTCTAAATCCAAATGTGTTCCACTTTCTTCTTTAATGACTTCATGCTCTTCAACGAATAAATTCTTTCAAAACACCTGTATCGATTCTAACGGAATAAGCTCTCCTTGTATTTGATAACCTGCAATTTCACCCTCACAAGATAACCCATGTGTTGTTCTAATGAAGCAAAAACATGCCTCTTTTTCACAATCAAAGAATTGTATCCTTTCCATCTCCTTTTTAATGGGTTGTATACATTGTCTTGAAACGAAGTCCTGCAATCTAGAGTAAAATTGAGTGTTATACCGGTGTTCAATGTTGGAAATACTTTTCTGAAATGATACTCTAATTGAACTTAATTACAATATCTACATAAATAACAAATGCTACTTGTCAACTTTTCTTTAGTATCCAGTTAACAGACTCAACACTAAAAACATAAACAAAACAATATGTCATTATTTGATACTTATTAATGTAACTATATATATATATATATATATATATATATATATATATATATATATATATATATATATATATATATATATATATATATATATATATATATATATATATATATATATATATATATATATATATATATATATATATATATATATATATATATATATTCAAATCGACCTACATGTTTGTTGTTGTGTTTACTATATGAGTAGCTCCATTAGTTCAAACAGTAACAAATCTTTCTTTACATGGTGACAATCAAGTTTTATGCACATACTAAACAAATTTTAGAATATCAGGACATGCAACATCAAAATGTTTTAAGTGTACCAAAAAAATCAATTTATGTATTCGAATACATGATGTGGTTCTACATATTCATAACATGATCATGACTATGTGATTCAACATACTCCTTACACTTCATACTAACATTTTTTGAAATATGGAACAAACACAACAAATGAGTTGAGTTTGGAAACATAACTTCCACAACATTCATCAACACTTGTTCACGGTTAGTAACCAAAACTTTCGATATCAACTTTTTGGAAGCGAACAACTCTTTTAGCCTCTCTAGTATCCACGTGAATTTTTCCTTCCTTTCATGTTCCATATATGTAAATCCAACCAAAAATATCAACTTCGTAGATGTAACACCAATAATCTCAAGTAGTGGTAGTCAGTACCTATTTGTTTTGTATGTACATTAAATCAACAACAACCAGTAACAACTTCTGAATCGATTAAATCAATATAGAAGCAATTGACAATATTAAGTACCTGTCTATAACAAGTGTAAAAAAAGTTATTTTTTAATTAATAATGGCTATGGAAATTACAGTCAACAGGGTCTAGGAGCCTGTCATTTTCTTTGTCTTCCAAATATAACCTTCGCTCAGCTTGGAGTACATGTATACCAAGCACGTGTGTAACGCCCATTAATTTAATTAATTATTTAATTAAATTATTTTCAAATTATTTTTTGAAGTTGTGAGATTTTGTGAATTGTTGGTATAAGTTGCTAGATTATTACTAGTTAATTAATTAATTGATTAATAAAAGTAATAATATTAGAATTAGTAGAATAATAGAATAATTATGTTGAGCCTATTCTTAATGGTTAGAAGTAGAGATATGGGGGGGTGTTGTTAAGCCCATTAAGAATAAAAATATTGTGGAGTTCTATTTAAAATAAGGAATAAGGTTAATTGAGAAGTTGTTGGAAAATTGGTCGTGAGAAGTTGCAGAGAAGAGGAATAAGGAGTAGAGCAAAGCAAGGTTCCAGTCCGAGAGTTATCGAGCGACCTTCAATCCAAGGTAAGGGTGGGGTTATGACCTTATAATGGGGCTTATAATGAATATTGTATAGGGGTTTGGTCGTGTGTTTAACTTTTGTGCGTTGATTTTTCTGAGCCTATTCTTGAAAGTTGCTCATTTTCACGTTGTGGTAGTCTAGGAATTTTCTGCATGGTTGTCTTGTACGATCAATGAATCATTTAATAGGAGATATAG